GGATCTGAGATCCAAATAGCAGCCAGGTCTGCTGAAGGAGCCGGGGAAGCCAGCCAGCATTTTGAGCTGGGAGCTAACTCTCTAGAGCAATTGATTAGATGGGAAAATTAGTAGTGCTGATCGTTATTTCTTGAGTCAGCCACTGGGCAGCCTACTGCTTGCCAAAGAGCGGGGAAGGGAAGCTTGGTGCACAGGGCTCTGGCTGGCTGTTGGTTGCCCTGTGCTAGCTGGCTGCCATGGCATGGTGCAGGCGCGAGGAGAGACCTCCCTCCTTGCTCTGTGCCTGCAAGACCCCTTGCCCAGCCACGGTGATTCGCAGCCTGAGTGCATGTACCTTTGTATCATTTAGGTATGAAGAAGCTTTAGAAAACATCAGTGACCAAGCGCTCCAGGAAGTCAGCAGGGCTCTCTCACAGCGGGGTTATGCTGCTTTGACCACCGACAGACAGGCTTCCCTGAAAGGCCAGGTAAAAAGCAGCATGGACAAGGACAACGCAGTCCGGCATGTCATCGCTGAGTCTCTGAGCTTATCTCTAACTCGGATTTGAAGCCACTTTGCACTCTCAGGCCACAGCTTAGGTTTAGGCTGATGACTCTGGAGGGTGCAGGACAGGTCTAGGATCAGTACTACCAAAGCAAACTCCCTGTGCTGAGCAGAACTTGAGGGTGGGAGCCGAGTTCAGTGTCTGCCCCCTCCACCCAGCCTGCACAGGAGGGGAGGTCAGGGGAGCTAGGTTTAGAAACTGCCTTCATTTTCCTGTTCCACCCTGAAATGCTCCCAAGCAGTAATTGCTTTGAAAAACCTCTTAAATCCTCCCATCCTTGCTAAAAGCTAAACAGGCCCAAGTGCAAGGTCTGCTCCTAGGTAGTGTTGCAATCTTCAGGCTAGCATGTAGAGTGAGAGCTTAATCACTGGCTGCAGTGAAGCACCATGCTAAGATCTTTAAATAATATTTATCCCTAGAGAGTGCACTGCTTGGTATTCAGCTAACCAGCCGCCCTGTAATGCTGCTCCATCAAAATATTTATTCAAATGGTTTGGGTAAGAGCTGGTTATTTTGACCTTTTATTAGTACTCTGAACGCTAACTCTGCATCAGATTGCAGTGCCACAGGCAGCGAGTACACTGCAGGAAAGATTATTTCCACATGGAAGACTAGCTTTTATCAGCCATGAAAATAAGGTGAGGCTCTTCCTGCCCACCGCTTCATCTAGCTGAGTATCCTTCCCAGCCCCTGTGGACTCCACCACACTGTTTATTTGGGTTTATTCTTTCCATGTCAGAGCAGGCTATTTTGTTTTAACGTAATTCAGAAGGCTGAATTAATAGCCTAAACCAAACCTCGATAACCAAACCTCCAGGCTGGGCAGCGTGTGACGGCAGTGACTCACCGACGGTGTGGCACTAGAAGCTGCAGAACTAGACAGCCTTCCCCCCCGCTATGTCTAAAAATCAAACCCGTGCCTTGCCTGCACTCTTGGCCACTAAAAACATTTTCTACCTACTCCCTTCAAGTGCGAGAACGTCTGACGCAGCCGGGTAGGTGAATCTCAACTCTGTGTTCCTCAGAGAGGTTTCTTGAATGCTTTCAATTTCAAAATGCTGCTGTGGCTCACAAGAGAAATCCTGAGCTCTGAAGTTTTATATTCCATTATGCTTCTAACATGCCTGACGCTTGAATGCAGTACAAAAGCTCTCAGAGTGAGTGAAAAATCTTTACTGTTGACCTGCTCCACTTTCATGCTGGGTTTGATGGATTTGAGTGTTCTTAAGTCCTTCAGCCCAGTACCGCAGCGAGAGCCACCGTTAGAAGCAGCTACCCAGGACACAGTGGCACCTGACACTCGAGTACTCTCCTTGTGTCCCACAGTTTCACCTCGGTTCCTGTGCTGGACGCTGTTTCATTCCCTTAGGATCTGGAAGAGGAACTGTGTCCCTGAGTCGATCCAGCGCGTTACTTGTCCACAACACCCTGCCAACAATATGCGGCTGTCCTCAGGTCTGCTCTTGACTGTGTGAGCTAGCCTTTGTCTCAAAACTAGCTTTCTGGGCAAAGGCTGATTATTTAGTTTATTTTCATGCTTTTGCTCCCTACAGAGCAGCAGATTCATTCCTTCCTCCGCCTTTTCATTTCTCCCGATGGACAGAATTCTCAGAAAGACTTCCCAAAGGGCCTTGATGCCATTCAGGAAGAGCAGCTGGAAGCTGGGCGCAGCTTCGGAAGCGTGATCCACCACAACAGGCAGGTGTTTGGACCTTACTACTCGGGAGTTCGCAAGAAAGCGCTTCTCCCAGGCGCAGAACCAGACTCAGACGCAGGGGTGGATTCTTTCTGGTCATCTTCACCACATTCTGGGACAGGGGTGGAACGCATTCTCCAGTCATGCTTCAGCTTATAAAAATCAATCAGACAAATCCACCGGGGCCTGCACTGCTACTGGGAAGTGACTCTTGGCACGTCAGTATCTGAATAAACCTCTCGAGTACAAGAGGTAGTGCCTTTTTTCCCCAAAAAGCTATTTGGTGGGGAAGGCAATGGGATGTGGAGTTCCTGAAACTGCCATGCAGGTCAGGCTTTTTTTAATCCAAGGTGTTAATTCTGCTGTGGACCTGTAACCTGCTTTGCTGAAACATTAGTCCCAGCCCAGGGACGCTGTTTGCATTTGATAAAGCCATGTGGTATTTAAGATCATTAAAACTGCTCAGTATATTTCAATGGTAGCTTGAAAACCTGACTTAGTGGATTATTAGAAATGGAACATATGGTATAAATTTAGCAATCCCTGGAGTATTTAGTATTTTACATCAGCCAGATTTTACTTGACAGAAAAATCTGAACTTTAACCTGTATTTAAATGTCTGGATTTCTCGCTCTATTTTTATATAATGAAAATGTCCTACTTCTTGGCAAGCCAAATATCTTTTCTGGGTAAATACTCATACAATGGCTGCCCAAACTGCTGCAGTTGTTACATGAATCAGTGGCTGCTGTGCTACAGGAAAGTGATGTTAGTGTTTATCATCAGTAAATGAGGGTCCTGACAGTCCCCCGTGGAGCAGTCCTTGCAGATGCCCATCAGCAGGGCTAAAAACGAGCTTTTCTCACCACGACGCGGAGAACAGACACAAAGCGGCTGGAGACTGTCATGCTAGAGACAGGTCTGTCCTTAACAGAACACGTGGATGCGTTTTTATCTATAAATTAGTTTGTTTCAGAATAACAATATTCAATATTTGGGGTCATTATGACTAATTGCAAAAAGAGCAGCTTCAACCAAAGCGACTGCTCGGCAGCCAGCACTCCCCGCCCCGCATGTCACACGCGACAGCACAAACCCGAGCTCCGCTGCCCAGGAACTACGGCAGGATGGCTCCCACCTCGTCGGCCTCCTGCGCTCTGCTCCCACAGCACCGCATCTCTGCGCGACGCTCTGACGCGGCCTTGTTCCTCACGTGGACGGAGCCGGGGAACGCAGGCGCAGTGCTCGGCCGCGCTAACCGAGCGCCCCGCTGCTGCCTGCCCTCACGCTGCTTCTCCTCCCTTGGCAGGTCGGGTCTGTTAGACGGGGACGAGAGCAGCAGCGCTTCAGCAGAGATGACCAGGAGCTGGAGGTGACAGTGACAATGGGGCGAATGTGTGTCTAAGTTTGTTTATTAATTCAGTCTGTTCTAAGTTGTACAATTATGAAAACAACAAAACGACTGCTGGAAGCCCAGGAATATTTACAATCTCGCCTTGTTGTAGTGAGGTCAGTCTATGTTGTTGCACAGATTGGTTATGTTTGGTACCACAAGATGTTTAAAATTCAGACAAATTTGAACAGATTAACAATTGTATATACAGGAAATAAAAGGAAATTCAAGTATCAAAATACAGACAGATTAAATAACATTTGTATTACAAATCAGTCCCACTGCCATACATCACAATTAGCAAAAATGTCTACATTGCAAACTGAACTCGACTGTTCTCTGCCCTGTTAGGGAATCTCAGGTTATTCTTCCACGGGTAGGAAAAATGTTTGAGCTAGATTGACTTTGCAAGAGCAGCACAGTTACTTCCTTTTGGAAAAAGAAAATAAAACAAAAAAAAAGCAGTAAGTAATGCCAATATGAGACCTAAAAGAGAGACCTTTTGCAACAAGACAGCGTTGCAAACACCGTGCTTGCTCTAAAATAAAGATCTGATTGCCTGGAAGTGAGGCGAGCAGAAGAAAGCCAGGGGAAGTTCTGCTGCTAGGGACGTCTGAAGTGGGGCGGAAGGAGCGTTAAAGCAATGGGCTCCACTTCAGCCGCACACAGAACGGGACGTGTTCGGAGGGACGATTTGGCATTGGTCTGTGTCGCAGCAGCCTGGTGAAGGTACAGACTTTTCCCTAGAGGCACATCCTGGAAGGTGCCGTATCTTCGCCCTGCGAGGGGGACGGACATGTACCCCGCAAAAGTTGCATAATTTCTTCTAAAAAGAACAATGCCAAAGCACGTTCAAAGACAGCCGAACAGCTAAGATTAGGGTTTTTTTGTAAATACAAAATGAAAAAGGATAAAGCAGCTTCGATTTGGAAAAAAATCATCCCCTCTTACATAAAAAAAAAAGACACAAACTCTTCATCTCAGTTGACCTGTCTTGAGTTCTCAGCCTGGACTCGTGCCATGCACACAGCAAAGTCTGTAAAATCCAGTCTGCCCTTAAAGAGGGGAGCCAGGCCCCGGGCAGCACCACCTTGCCCCAGGCAGGGATGCAGCAGGTGCATTTTGATTCAAAGTCTTATTCAGCACCAGAAATTTTAGGGCACTTTCCTCCAGATACCACGAAACCCTGTAGGGAGAAAGAGCCAGAATACTGTGCCGTGGCTGGGTTAACGGACTGCTGGGAGTCGGGGATGGGCATGGCCCAGGATGTCTCCAGCGTGCAGGTACCTTGAGAAAACCCATCGAAATAAAAGGGGAGATGCACTGCCAAAACAATTGCTTTGTCTGTGACGTGAGAAAGAGAGTATCTGGCTACAGAACTGCTGGGTCACTAAAGACAACCACGGGGTTACATGCGGGGCTGGGAAGGACCACCAGGGTCGCAAGCCCGGACCCCTGAAGATTGGAGTCTTCATCACCACATCGCCTCCAAGCCAACCTTCGAAAAGCTCATGCATCAGACAAAGAAAGGTGTCCCTCCTCCCAAGCAGAGGTTCAATTTGCAATCTCTTCAGAAAGATTTGTTGCCAACACACCAAATATTTACACTTACACCAGTATGAATTGCAACATATGCAGAATAAGGAATGTTAGGTTTCCTAAATTCATCAACTTAAAAAAAAAACACCTCTCCACTTCCCCCTCCTAATCATTTACAGGTCTATGCCCTTGGGATTACGGTTCACTTCTCTCCCAGCCTTCCTGGCTGGAGAGACTAAATGAAATCCTGACATACAGCAGCAACCGGAGTTAAACAGAAATCATTTGGGCATATCATTTTAGTACAGCAGCAGGGTACCACCTCCCCAACCATCGCAATGCCTGCCGAGATCGTAACGGATGCTCTGCGCTAACATTTTTGCGTCTGAAGAATTGAAATCACAACCATTTTAACATCTCTCCCTTGAGGGGAACAGCTGTGTGGAAACACATCAGTCACAGCCAAAACTACTGTTAAATACTCTGGTAATTTGGAAGGAAAAAAGCAAGCACACAGCACCTTCGAGGTGGTGGTACCTGGGGACAGGCGGGGCCGAGCCATCCTCAGGTTGATATGATTGATCCTCAGGTTTGGATTGTTTCAGTGTAATGCCCAAAATTTAACTCCTTATTTGTTCATCTTCTGAAACTCTTGCACTAATTAAATAACGAGCTAGTATCAAAAAAGTGCTAAATCACAATTGAATATACTTAAAAAAACAACCCCACCCCTTCAGGGCATAACTGCATCTAAAACCAAGCCGGGTGCACAAGAGGCTGGAGAAGGGAGTCGTCTCCAGGTATTCAGTGCGTCAATCGGCAGAAATTGTGTCCTTGCCCTAGAAGTGTCAAGTATTGCATCGCAACAGTTCTCTGTAGGGGAAGCAAGCTTTGTACCGTCAGTAATACTTGGCTACGACCACTCTGGCGTGGAAGATCCTCTGCAGACTCCTTCCCTTAAGTTCTTTCCATTTGCTATAGAAGCGCGGAGTAGCTTTGCAAACAAAGGGCGCAGACTTACCCTGCGAGGCTTCTCGCACTGGAGGAAATTATTTCCAAGAATTTGGCGTTCTCTACTGTTCACCCAGAATTGAAGCAGATTTAAGTACCGTTAGAGATGTGCACACCACTCCCACTGCTAAGACTTTCTATTGTACTCCTTGCCGGACTGCGTGGATTCTCAGTAAATAAGGATTTTTTTTTTTTTCTTTTCCTCAGCAAAAAACTGCAGTGCTACATTTAAACTGTGAACTGGATTTGCTCTGTATCATTTCACACGTTAAAAAAAGCAACGGGTCGAAAGACGTTTGTCTCAGACTAGAAAAGGCGACATCGCTCTCGGCCTTGGAAGTCTCAGCTTTCCTTTGCTAAACGCGGCGAGAGCTGCTTCGCTCAGCTGGTGGCTGGGATCCCCTTCCCCCCTCTGCTCGGGAGCCCTCACCGAGCAGCCATGCACCCACTCCGAGGCAGACACCAGTGCCAGATGGAGATGATCTTCGTGTCAGCAGGCCACTGCTTCTTAGGTCTCTGCCCCGTTACTACATTTCCGTGGTAGGAGACAGCTGCCCGGAGATCAGCTTTTCAGAGGCAAACAGAAAGGAAGATAATGGAATGAATGATTTCCGAGTCATAGACAAAAACATGCGCTGGGAAAGACGAGGCGAACGGCCAGGAGATGAGACACAGCCGTGAGGGTTACGGACACACAGCGGAAGCTCTGTAGCGTGGGCACGGCCGCCTGTGATCCCAGCTGGGTTTGGATGGTCACCCTTAGAAAGGCACATGCTCCAGTGACCCGGGCTCAGGAGGTGCGGAGCAGCCTGCCCTTCCCTGCTGCAGGCACGGCGAGACGAGAGCTCCGACCTTCTAAAGCCAGGCGGACACGTGGGCAACCGACCGCACGGCAAATGCTCACACGCAGAAACCACGCTACCATCGCCATCATTAATTCAGTTTCCGAAGGATATAAAAGCCCTCGGGGCACTTTTAGAGCTTGGAAAGATGCTGGTCAAACCCGGAGCCAACCTCTGGGAGCACCTCAGACACAGCAACATTCTGCTGCCCACACGCAGCACGGCCTCTGCTTCGGGGGTCCTTGGGCTCTGCGCTCAGGCGCTCCATGGCATACGAAATACATGTACTAGATCGAGCTTCCTTTTTTTTTTTGCTTTAAAACAATCCTTTTAGTCCTCTCACTTGGGTTCTCACTAGCCTGGCCTTTATCTTGAAGTCAGTTTGCTGCTCAGTGCCATTAAGCCACCAATGACTTGAGAACAAACTCATTCCTGAGAAAGAGCTAAATAAAGATGTTGAAACATCAGATTTCACCACAACTCTGGGGAAAAAGAAGCTTTGAGGCAACAGCTCTCAAGGCCCAGCAAAACTCGGACAAGCTTGTCCTAGCCCCTAAATACCAGGTGTGTGGATAACCAGGGCTGCTGCTCTGACTGCTCCCCGCTGATGCCAACTGGTGATCGCAAAGGGACATTTGGGGTGAATTCTAAAAGCTGCTTTGGAAATGGAGCTTTACTGGAGATCTGAGCGCTCCCTCTTCCCCACTTCTGTCTAAGATGTCCACGCAGACACCTCATGCCGCGGTGGAGCAGGGAGCTGCCGCCCACCTCTCCTCACAGCTCTCCAGCAGACCCACCAGCACCACCGGCTCTCCAGAACCAGGCTGCG